GAAGCATTGGTGCCAAGTCGAAGGTACCACTCCAGTTTCGTGTAGCCAAACACATCCAAGAAGTAACTCGTATGATGTTTTAGCACCAATGACATGGAAAAGAGCCGAAGAGATTAACTGTCCTATTTGCAACTCTAGGCGAATCATGCCAATGGCTCGCTGACCTTTTTGATTGAATCCTTGAATCATGATTTTGCTTCTGGATAGATTACCAACATTGATTCCAATTTTCTTCATTATTTTGACCAGCATAATATTTACAGCAGATCCACAATCGTTCATTATACGATTTATCTTGCACTCTCGAATATAACCACTGACTTGCAGTGGTCTATTATGTGAACGTGAACCTATCTGTAAATTTCCATCGTCGAATGTTATGGTGGCCATACAGTCTTAAGGAGTTGTGGCTCCAATATGTTCTAAAGCTTTGCCTTCGTATTTTTCCGGATTGATTAATGTTGCGACCAAGGGCATCCGATCATCGAAGGAAAGGACAAGAGACTCTGCTAGACTTGTATTGGTAGGAATATTATTGAGTCGTGAAATAGTTTGCTTCTGTTTTGGAGTCTGCCTTGATACGTTCTTCATTTCATCTTTCTCCTCCACATTGATTACGTTGGAGGTTGGACATTCTTTATCAAAGAAACCCTTAGGAAAGTAATCACCCAAGGTTGGTAGTCTAGGAAGAACGCGTGGAGCTGCTCCCTCTTCGGTTGATTTAGTAGATACTCTTGGCTTGGCTTCAGGCCTCCTTCTTTGATTGTTCCTTGGTCTTGATTTCTTGTCACAAAAGTTAGAAACTGGGAGTCGTGGAGCCTTTCGACGACGTCCATGCCCCCTGATCTTCTTCTAGTGTTTCTTCTTCATTGGGTTGAATTTTCGTACCCAATTCCTCCACCTTTGTTCCTGCAAGAGGCGTAGAAGGTAATATTTTACCTATTTTGTTTGACATTCTGTATTTCTCTTTCTTTTTTATGAAGGTAGACCAGCCGTCACCGATCTCATCTTCTAATTCTAAGTTGAAATCCCAAACATCCAAGTCACCTGTCAAATTCCTCAACTGAGGATTTACAAGCATCGTGTACATCAGAGAATGTTTGTTTCTTTCCTAGAATGCGAATTGGATCAAATGTTCCAAATGAAACCATTGAGCTTGCGGCTGTTGGATTCTCTCCGGTCTCAAGTTTGATCTTATTTTCTTTGTCCAAGGGAACAATAAGATCTTTCAAAACAAAGCATTTTTCCACTGGATGGCTAATGATCCTGTGAAATTTACAGTATTTAGGATGATCGATCTTACCAGCCTTCTCAGGTCTTTTTGGTACTAGAAGTTCGATTATTTTCTGTTCAAGGAGCTGATCCAAAATTCCAGAAACTTCTGAATCTGAGAATGGGTACTCCCTTCCTTCAAGTTCCTTTAGAGTCACATGACTTCTGCTTTGGACTTGTCCTTTGTTAGGTATGAACTCTAGCTTCGGTTTTGAGTTCAAGCTCGACCCTTGGAAGGCTATCTTTGCAGGAACAGTAGAAATCGCCATAGCCTCTTTGGATTTACTTGTCTTGACATTCTTCTTTATATCCTTCTTAGGATCTTTCTTGTTACGTGGATCACTTGGTAAATAACTCTCATGCCTTGCAATTTGGAGCTCCAGGTCATGAGCACGTGTTGCCAATTCTTCGAATGAGTGAGGCATGTTTGCTTGGAGATTATAGAGTAATCCCCAATGCATGCCTTGTACACACACATCGATGGAAGATGCTTCACTTATTCGTTCTTTACAATTAAGCACAAGGTTTCTCCAGCGTTTAATGTACTCTACTACAGGCTCTTCTTTGTTCGAGCAAGTTCTGGAAGGATGACAGTTCGTCGGGTGCTGTTGAAGTGTGTTAAGAACTCTCGCTCGAGTTGATCCCAACTATCAATTGACCTTGCCAGTAAGTCTGTGTACCATTCAAATGCAGAACCTTTGAGGGAGCGTACGAACTGCTTCACCATTGTGTCATTGTAAGTACCTGTATTGTTACACGTCTCAATAAAATGAGTAATATATTGCTTTGGGCTGCCCTTTTCATCAAAACATTGAAACTGCAGAGGTTGGTAACCAAGTGGCATCCTTATTTCGTCGATTCGACGACTATAGGGTTTGGCATACACCAATGAAGATTGCAACGAACCACCATATTGGGCACGAATGGTGTCCGCAATCATATGTTGAAGTTGTTGGACGGATAGAGAGCCAACGGAGAGTTGAGTGACGTCACGCAACACATTTTGAACAATTGTTCGATCATGTATATCTTGCTTTTGTTGATGCTCTTGTACTTCTAACTCTTTGGCCTTGGAAGATCCTAAATTTTCCTGATCTTCTTTAATCGTTGGATTTTGCGACTCTAGTTTATGTATGAGTGTGGCAATTTGGGTATCTTTTTCTTCTAACAACTTTGTTAATATTTCAATAGCTAAAGCCATTTGTTGGATTCGATCATCTGAGCCCGATGCCGCTTCTGTGACCATCACTGGCTCAAGTGATTCTTCAGATGAAATATCATCTTCTCACTTTTGCTGAGAAGTAGCATGAGGGGATCCAGATAAAGATCTACCACTGGAGATGGATCTTGAATGAGAGTTTTTCGTCGAACTCATGATTTTTTGTGTCGAATGAGAGTTTGGCTTTTTGAAGGCAGTTTTCATTTTGTTTTTGTTGGAGAATTTCTTTAGTGGTGTGACCAGTTGAGTTTTCCCAGTTTTTGTTTGGGCCCTGGTCGCGTGGAAGAGTTCAGCAAGTGTCTCTTCAAGATGAGTCATAGTTTGTTTCGCCTTTTCGCTTGCCATTGTTGATGTAGTATTTGAAACTTGAAGATTTTGAGATCAAAAGATGAGAGGACAAGAACGTCTCACCGGGCGTGCTAAGAAATTTGTATGACGAAATTTCGTGTATTAAAATACAAAAATCGTTACAAATTTTATTTTGATAAATACAAGTGATGTTGATCTTCTCGTAATTGCAAAATTGCAAAATCCTCTGATTAATGATCTGAATATTTGACGACGAGAGGCCACGTGGCTTAAATCATGATCTTAAATAATTTGTTGAAAATTTGATTTGTCGAGATTTGACTTATTTGGAATTTGAATCTTGAGGCTTGGATTTGGACTTGAATTTGATTTAATTTGAAGAAGACTTTGATCTTCTTGGACTTGGCGTGAACCTGTTTGATTCGAAGAAGATTTTAATCTTCTTGGGATTCACCGAGTTAAGGCTTGACAAAATTTCTTCCCTTCTTTCAGCCTCGAGATTTCTTCAGCGCTTCGTGGCGTTCTCTGCTTTCTTTCTAGCTTGCTTTCTGTGTGTGTATCTTATGGACCATTGGTCCTATTTATATGTGAGAATTCGCACTAATTGTGTTAATTACTCAATTACATCTAATTAAAAGAGATAATTGAATAATTATGATTTTGTTTATTTATTTGTTTGTTTATTTATTTAAAATGTGATATGGGCCTTTGGATTTATGGACCTTAGTAGATTTTAATTTAATTGGGCTAATGATTTAAATCGATCCAATCCATTTCATTTTATTTTATTTTTATGTCTACACCATCTTTGATCAATGGTTGAGAATTAATTTGATACAATTGGTTTGGTATTTGAGGGGTCATTCCAAAAGGACGGAATTAGTCTTGGTTTTTCAACGATTGAGTCCTTCTTTTGAAACGCTCTCTGGTCTTCTTCGAGAGATCTTCTTCTTCTATTTTTGGTTTCCATTTTTGTGATCTCACACGAGATCTTAGTCAATTTTTGTAGGACCCTGTGAAATATATCTTACTACGGTAATTTTGGCCGGTTGTACGGCCTGTGATGCGTCTATTTTGTTAGACAGTACGATTTTCGATTTTTTGGTGACTAAGGTGTGATTTGTGAGATCCTTTTAGATCTGATATCTGATTGTGGTCTTAATGTTGTTTATCTGTCTCTTGGAAGGTTATTCTGCATATAGTGAACGAAAATACCTCTGAACTCCCTAAATTAGGCGTTTTCGCTGAACTAGGTGAACAATCATTTTGTGTTTTTTTACTGCTTTTGTGCGTGATTGATCGATTATTTCTCACACGAGCACGAAAACAAAGGGGTAAATCCTTACACCACTTAATCGGTTTTATAACTTATTGTCATATACGTAGGGATGATTTTCACATATAACATTATTCTTCATTGATTAAAAGAGTGCTATTAGATTTTAATGGATTTGAGCTCATGAATATAATTACCAAAACTCTTTAGAAATATTAGTACGACCTATATATTTAAGTGGATATCAAGCCCACAAATATACAGTCAAGTTATCCATATTTGTGAAAAAATGAAAGACTTGAATTAAAATCAAGTTAAGAAAGAAATAAAAATAAATATTAATAAAATATCTTTTTTTCAATTCTTTTTCTGAAATTCAAAATGGGAGGGGAAAATAAATTACGGATTGAATTTAAGTTCCAATTAGAATTTGGAATCAAATTTTAGACAATTGAAAATGAAAATGAAATAGTCAATTCTGCTTTCGAAACTCGATTTAACAATCAAACAAGTTTTTGATCGCAAAATATTTAGTGTGTGTTGTACATAATACACGACATTAAAATGAAAACGATATTATTTTCAAATAGAATTAATTTTTAATATATTGATATTTAATTTTGTGATTTGGTTGATTACAATTTTGTTCAATTTTTTTGATGGAACTAATTTTAATTTGTTAATATTTGTTTTGCCAGATTAAAATACATGAGTTAAAATTACATTCTGTTCAAATTTATGAAATTCACATGAATCTGTAAATTTTAAGAATCCATTAACTTTTGAATTGGTAACATCCCTTAAATTAATTAGAAAATCTTATAGAATTTTATTTTTCAATATATTAATCATTAAAAAAATGAAAATAACTCTTAAATAAAGTCAATTCCATTATTAATTACCGATCGTTGACATCAAGGTGGAGACCGAGGAGATGACGCCATGGACCTAAATTTGCCAAACATGCGATGACGGTTCCCAAGTCAAATTCATCTTCCCCATTGTCTACACCGTCTCTCCTTCTCCCATCCCGCACCCCACCACAAGAAAGGGGGTAAAGTGAAGAAAAATCCAATATTTCAGCTCCATCATCGCCCCCATTTCACGTCTATATCTTTTCTACTTTACACAATTGTATACAAATACACTTTTATATAACTGGAATTTGACATTTATATTGAAAGAGAAAGGAGGGAAATTATGAAGAATAGAAGCTATGGAAAAGTGTCTGCAAAATGGGTCCCAATTTTCTCTCTCTGTTTCTTCTTTCTTGGCATGTTCTTCACCACCAAGTATGTGTAGTTCAAGAATTTGAATTTTTTTTTTTTTGGTTTTGTTTTGTATTGTAAATTATTAATTGTGGGGGTTTTAAGATGATTTTACGTTTGATCTGGGTTTTACAGATTGTGGATTTCATTGGAATCGAACAAACAGCTCATTGCCCAGCATAGACGTGAACAAGAGCTGCAGATCGTGTCTGAGGATTGCACTACCAAGAAGAAGGTTTGTTTTTATGACCTAAAAAAGCTGTAAATTGGAAGTCAAGTTTTACAGATTCAGTGTTCTGATTATGCATTTCTACGTCAAATTTCACTAAAAATGTTTAAGATTCAAAATTTGAAAGTTTGTTTATGGGTGTGGATAGAAAGCAGGAGGTCAAGATAAGAATGTAATGAATGAGGTGTACAAAACCCATGAAGCAATTCGGTGAGTTGAAAATTCCCTAATTACATTATAAGTTGAATTGTTTTTTCTTTTGTTTATTGTCATTTTGCATTTTAAGTGTAAAATATGCTGAATTTTATTGGGAGGTAAATTCAGATCACTGGACAAGTCAATTTCGATGCTTCAGATGGAGTTAGCAGCCACTAGGGGTGTTCAGGAGAAGGGAAGGACGGACGGGTCAGCTGTAAATTCTAACGAGGGGTCTCCAAAGAAGAAGGCATTTATGGTAATCGGTATAAATACGGCTTTCAGTAGTAGGAAGAGGCGTGATTCTATTAGAGAAACTTGGATGCCTCAAGGTGATCCCGAGTTGTGATCCCTGTTAAAATAGATTTTTTTCTTTACTTATAATAAAAGTAAGCAAACAACTCGCCTGATTTGACCAGGGGAACAACTTCGGAGATTGGAGCAAGAGAAGGGCATTGTTGTCCGGTTTATGATTGGACACAGGTAGATCACTCTTCCAAATTTGTTTATCAACTAGATCTTTTGGAACTCTGCTTTCTTAAATGGTACTTTTGGTAAGGAAGATTGTATAACACCAGACACTGTTAGGGAAGAAAAAAAATTGGGCTTGTTAATTATGTGTTGAGTCATTCCTATATTGCCTATTAAACATGCACAAGCAGTATTGTTAGTTACATGAACCTGAAGTTGCAAGAGAATGGAAAATCGGGAAAGTTTTTAATATAGCTCGACATGATACGTGAAATACTTGACCACACATTAAGGATGGTGATACTCATGGTATATATACTAATGTCTACTGAGAATTTGAAATATTTGATAAAATTTTAGGTGTTTTCTAAGTGTAATGTGAGGTTCATTTTCATTAACCAGAATATGCCTCGCTCTTGTCTGCAACTAATGCATTGCCTTTCTTAGGAAGAATAAGAAAGAAATTATCAGCAAAGTTATATAAAAACCCTACCATATGCTTATCTTCTGTTTTGTATTCTGTGGAAATATGACAAATAAATTTGAATGCTAGCTTATTTGTTGAGGTCTGGCTGAAAATTGTAATACCGATGTGTTTATGCACCACCCCTTTCCCCTAAATAACATTTATGGAGTTTGGCTTGATGGACTTGATAGCATCAGACAACATTAAAGAACAAAAAAAAGCCAAAATCTTGGCTTTTGCATTGTCGAGTCTTGTCGAATGTTGTGTAATAAACATAACCTTTAGAGTTGAGTATACATATATATTGTTGTTGATGACAGTACCAATGATTTTTTACCTATACATGTGTTATACTTACCCTTATATTTTAAAAGAGAATGGACCACAATTCATCGAGCTATCTTTGGTGCTTTGCAAAGTGATGTTTATGCAATCATAGTGTGATATGAAGCTGACCCGGTAAACTACATTGTTGATTGATCCAGCGCAACATCTAAAAGCATACTGGATCGAGCTCTTGACTCTGAAGAAGCTCAACACAAGGACTTTCTCAGGCTGGTAAAAAGCGTGCAAAGTCCTTCTCATTTTCCCCAATGGATTTGTGTGAGCTTAAAGGTTTAAAATCTTAACTATGTTATGTTGTAGGAGCATGTTGAAGGATATCATGAATTATCGGCAAAAACCAAAATTTTCTTTGCCACTGCTGCTGCAAAATGGGATGCCGATTTTTATGTCAAGGTCGATGATGACGTCCACGTCAATTTGGGTAAACACTGAGTACCCACTTTTCTATCTCTTGGAGACTAGATTTCAGCTCTGTTAACTGGGTGTTTTTTCGTTCCTACAGGTACACTAGCAGCGACTCTTGCTCGTCATCGGTCAAAACCCAGAGTTTACGTTGGGTGTATGAAATCAGGACCTGTTCTTTCTCAAATGTAATCTTAGACTTCCACAGTACTTTTGTGTTTGTAACTTTCTCGTATCAGTGTTATTTTACGCATTTACCTATGTTATGTTATCCAGGAATGTTAAGTACCATGAACCCGAGTTCTGGAAATTCGGAGAAGAAGGAAATAGATACTTCCGACACGCAACTGGTCAGATTTATGCTATATCTAAGGATTTGGCTAACTACATCTCAATTAATCAGTAAGCATTTTTTCCTTTCTTTTTTTATTGTGTCAAGATTGACTGCATCCTTTTTGTTTTGGTGCTTATGTGGACAGGTGAATATAATGCCAAGCTTGTTGATTATGTTGGTTATCAGATTTCATTTGTTTCATTGGTTTTTCTGGGATATATGTACTAATTGTTGGAAATATGATTTATAAATGTAGGCCCATATTGCATAAGTTTGCGAACGAAGATGTGTCGCTTGGTGCTTGGTTTATTGGTCTAGAAGTCGAGCACATAGATGAACGCAGTATGTGTTGTGGCACTCCACCAGGTATTGTTCTATAGATTAGCACGTTTGGCTAAGCTTAGAAGTTACCTTTAAGTAAGAGTAACTTCATTTGCTCACGTCATACTTCTTTTGACCGTAAATTTTGTTGCCATTTACAGATTGTGAATGGAAAGCACAAGCAGGTAACGTTTGTATTGCCTCCTTCGACTGGAGCTGCAGTGGAATTTGCAAGTCAGTCGAAAAGATTAAATTTGTACACAAACAATGTGGTGAAGGAGAAGAGGCTCTTTGGAATGCTTTACTGTAGATTCATATGAAAGGGGGAAAAAATCTTCGATTAACAAAAAAGTAAAAACTAATACTCCCCCGGTTTCAACTATCAGGTAATACAGAATGATACATACGGTTTTCAAGATTTGCGATCGATATGTGACATTGTAGGTATAGACATAATTATGATTTTGAGGCAATGAGTGTTCGACTCTAGACGGCTGAGATGGGATGGCTTGATATGTAGTCTTGTTAGAAGGCTAATTATTGATGATTAGTTCTTCGATATTCGAACGATGTTCTATTTTGTGTGTGTGTGTGTGTGTGTTTTGTTTTTTGTTTTTTTTTTTCATGCAAAAAGAATTACTGAACAAGAAAATGCCCAGCTGTGTAAATAAAAGGTCTCCCTTTGCAAAATTATTTGAAATATGTTACTTGTACATAGTACGGTTTTCATAAAGATGTCCACCCTTCTCATAAGGAGGTCGGCTCATTTTTTATATTTTATTGGATATGGGTATCCTTCTATGTGAGGATGGTGGACACTGTTATGGACATCCTGATGTACGTATAAAATTATTTAAATTATTATTTTTTAAATGGGTTGGGCCAAAGTTGGTTCTAGGGTCCAAATAGGACCCAAAGCCCATGTTATAAAGGGTGAGCCCACAAATTGCTAGTAGAAGATTGGGTTGCAACCCGACCCGGCTGGTAAAATGTATACGGGCTTTATTTAGCAACTAAGAGTTGTGTGTGATTTGATCTTCAACTGTGTTTTACCTAATTTTCCATTTATTTTTTAACTTTTAATGTTGGATTTTTGTAATTTGCTCAAATTGCAAGGTTACGATGTATTAGAAAAATACTATATGTTAGCACCTCATAAATCAGTAAACTTCTTGTGCAGAGCCTGTAATTTTTTTATTTAGTTAAAAACGAGACTATGATGAGACAAGTCTTTATACGTTTTGAATAATCAATATCCTACCGAATATCTTGGATGCCTTGGACATGCAAGGGTTGTTCAAATCATTGGCACTAACACACCACCAAAGAACTTGTTGAGCGAGGTGAAACAACCAAACTCTATACAAGTCTCGTTATCAGGGTCAAGCTTGAGATTTTTAAACTTGAGTCGAATTCTAAAAATTGAGCTCTCAAGTTATAGTGCGCGTTCAAAATTGTTTTCTTCATAACCAAACTCTTGGTATAAGTATCAAAAGTCGAAAAGAATGATCATTTCACCGAGCCAAACTTATTGAACTAAAAAACAAACCTAAAACCCAACAAAATTAATATATGTTTATTATAATCTTAGGCCAGCCTTTTTTTCACCTGTTTGGTCTATCCAAAAGCAGGCAACCCAACAAGCATTTGGGATTCTTTTCAACAACTCACATTGTATGAATTATTTTTTGTTACTTTAATAATGTTTGTGAGCACATGTATTAAAAAATTGAAAATAGAAAATAATTGTTGAACCTTTTCATGATATGTGGCATGCATGCATGCTTTAATAGATGTCGTGCCCCCAAACAACATAGGATTAGCCATTTCAGGCACTCGAGCCACCAAAAAGAAATTAAAAAAAAAAAAAAAAAGTAACATTTTCATTTTGAACCATTTAAATGATTTATATAGTATTGTACGTGATCAAGAGACAATCTGACGAAATGAAACATTAGAATTGAATTTCGGACGTGTTAATGATAAAAATAAATCATACATAACAGACAAACCATAAATGCATGTGGTCGGAGCTTTATGAATTTTGCTATGTTCCTTAATTAGATGTACGAATGTGAGCTTTATAAGAGGAGGCAAATGGGGGTATTCTTACCATTTCTTTACAATAAGTGCAGATTATATCTGGATAAGTGGATGTACGAATATGTGAATAATGTTAATATGTTAAGATTGAATATGACTAGGCATCTTTACATTTTCAATTAAATCTAGTCCAAAGTATTAAATATGCCGTAAATATATACATAACATTATGTATGTATAGTATATTGGGAGAAAAATTAATTGAAAATTGATTGTTCGTCATAATCAATGATACTTGATGAAATAAACACGTCTATGTTTCTTATGAATTTACAGAAATAATTTTTTTTTAACGGACAATCGTGACTACATAATAACAATAAAACAATGTGACACTAGGTCTTTAGTAGTATAACCTTTTAGTTTGAGAATATAAAATTTGGGGTAAAAGAAAAAGAAAAAAAAATGAAGGTGAGAATGGGCCATCACTTTGACTCTAGGAGCATCATATTTGTAAATTTTCTTCAATAACAAGAAGAGAAAAATAAAAAATAAAAAATGAAGTGGTTAAGACTTTAGGCCCAAAAAGATTTAGAAACATAAGGAGGCCCATGGCCCACAAGGATGGAGTTTTCACGTGACGCCACATGCATATAATGTGGTGTTTCCGCTGGATTCGTGTATTGTCCATTCGTATATCACGTGACTGGCGCATGCTTGCTTACTCACCGGCCACCACCACTCAATTTTTTTTTTTTTTTTTTTTTATTCTTTTTACTTCCTTAAGCTCCTGTTTTGCCCCCTTTTTCTTTCAAAATTTTTTATCTCTTATTTTCAACCACACAATTTTTCATAAAATAATATTGCACGTAAATAAATTTTTTTTTCAACCACATATTCTCCAAAAATAATATTGCAGACATTAAAATTTGAAAGAAAGAAGGCCAAACGAGGGCTAAATCTTTAATTCTAGAGCTTGTTTGACAAACATTATTATTAAAAAACACGAGAGTTTTAACTAGTAATTTTTACGAGAATGTGTAGTTAAAAAGTAAAAAAAACTTTTGATATATATGTAAAATATTTTATTGTGTAAATATGTGTTGAAAATGATTTCATAGAAAATTATAAAATAAATTAATGATCATCAAACAGAAACTTAGGGTACAGTGATTGCAAGTGTGGAATTTGCATGAAAAGAAAATAAATTTTAAGTAATTCAATTGTCTATAACTTAATTGCATGAAAATTATCAATTTAACATGTTTGATTGATTTAATTTTCAACTTAAAAAATATTATATTTGTCCGATTTTTATCGGAGGATAAATGAGAGAGGGATAGATGAGAGAGAGAAAGTGAGTGAATTCCTGAAAAAATAAAATCCTACTCCCTCTAAAAAAAAATATTTTCCTTGATTTTGAGGAATATATGATCACGTGACAAAAGTAGAAAATCATTTTCCAAAAGTAGAAAATCATTTTTTATGGAAAAAATGTTAATCAAACAGTACGAAAGTATGAATTTGGGTGAAAATTTTTCTTGAAAAATATTGGCAATCAAACGAACCCTTAATAATAAAGAACTTGTCTTGAATGTAACTATCCAAGGGGTCCGTTTGGCATGTTATTATGAATACAACTGTTAAATTTAAAAAAAAAAAAAATGCTACTATCAAAAAGTTAACAACTGTTGGTTTTCAACAAAGTGCCGTGACCGTTAGAAATCTCACTTATAATAATCGTGCCAAACGGATTCTAAATTACAAATTAAAAGGAGATATACCTTTGAGCCCGAGCGCAAGATATTTATTTCACGAAATCCTTTTATAAGAGAATCGATTTTACTTGAATCGAGACGAATCTTGTCCCATCTCAAGCCCAATATGAGGATTCACACTCTAGAGGTGGATTGATTAAAGGTGAAGTCAATTTTTATTGAGTGTAACAATAAACAACGCTACGTTTATCGCATCTTGAAAAACAAATATAAATATGAAAAACAGAATTATGTGTAGTCATTTTCTTAATTTTTATTTAATTAACAACAACATTCTAGGGTTTTATATTTTAATTCTAAAGTTCATATCTCAAATGTTGACAAAATTTTCATTTCCAAGAAAAAAATGTAACATGAGGAAGCAATAACATATGTTAGGCAAAAAGTCTAAAATTGCCCAACTACAATTGACTTTTTAATTTTGACCATATGTTAGATAACAATTGTTTGGTCTCAAGAGTTTTTGTTAGGTTCGTCAAGAAAAAAATAAAAAAATAAATCTTATTTTTGACGTACAATTTTAGAAGGAGAGGTTTGAAAATATTGAAATTAAAGAAAAAGAAGGTTGTAAACAGAAATGCCACTCAAAAGGCTAATGATAAAAGAATATATAAAACGACACGTTTCAATGAACTCTCTCTTTTGCCTTAATAATTTCAAATTATAAAAAGGCAACCTAATGCTGCCGATGAGAAATCAGAGGCCAATAGAGCATTCAAATTTGATTACATGGAACTTCTTGCCCATCAAGACTGGTCCACAGTTTATCACAAGCCAAGACACCATCAATGAACCGGAGTAATTTTGTGTACTTTTTTGTGCTACAATTTCATCACGTGATGAGATCCCGTTAAATGTATCGTCCATGTTAAGTATAAGCATACTCGACTAGTCGACTTAGTTAGTTTCAAATATTTAAAAGGAAGTCTTATATCGTTCCCAGTATACGTGTATAAAAATTTGAAAACGTTCTACGCAGACTATCAATTTATCAGCTTGTCATAATCTTCTTGTTTTGAGGTCTAACGTGTCATTTTTCCTTAACTTCAAAGTATACTCCGAAAGAATGGGGATATGTGATGTTGCAAACCAAACCACTGCCATAATAACATTCTCCAATTTTGACCCATTTGGTCTATACAGATTGTTACCTTTCAGATGAAGATACACTAACATTAGCCCTTCACTCATCACCCTATAGAAATTATTTGACATCATTTGTTTTGTTAAAAGTAACATTATTTGTACTTGCGTGGAGAAAATATGCCTTATTCCATGAGGCCATATGTAATCTATAGTTCCGATTTAGTTTGATCAACTCGAGGTAAGTCACAACAATCGAGTTTACGTAATTATACGTATTCTTACCATTCACTCTAAGTGAAAATTTTCAAAATCCGTAAATACTTATCCTAGTGTCGGTTAAAAGGGCAATTCAAGTACTTTCTAGCCAGGCTTGCATTCTTAGATACACCAAATTAGTCGTCCCTTATTCACTCCCCTTCTTGGGAATGAGTCCATAACAAACTAGAGACTTATTTTTTATTTTTTCTAAGGTATGGAAGAGACTCAAAAGGAAGAATCCTACTAAACAAACTTGTAAAATAACAAAGTGAAACAGGGTTCTTGAATCACATAGGACCGACAATAACAAGACCAGGATCCGACATTATAGTGGTAATAAAACCAAGAGTTCCACTGTATAATTTCAAGAATTTAGTATGTTATTTTGGTCAGAAATATGAAGGTAAGTGTCTTTTCCTTTTCTTGATTTATGGGTATTCCATATTTTGTATGAAATTTGAAATCGATTTTGTGAATCTTTTCATCACTTGATCCAGTTCACTGATATGCATACTGAAAGATCTGAAACAAAATCTTTACATGTATCACGTCAAGTGAGAATCATTTATTTGGCGATTTTAATTCAACTATAATTCAGTTATTTCAATAATACCTTATTTCTCATTTTTCAATATGTAATAAGTACTACAAAATTCGTATTATTAATTCTCAATTAATTAACATTTACATTAATCTAGACTCAATTTATTTTGACTCGATGAATCTTGATCTACATGAATTTAGAGATATTATAATCTCGTTTGGCCCACATTAAATTAAATTTCATTTCTCTCTCTCCTATTTTTAATCACACAATCTTCCATAAAATAATATTACACGTAAGTCGAATTTTTTTCTTTTTCATTTTTTTTTTCAATCACTCATTTTCAAAAAAAAAAAAATACTATTATACCCATTTTAATTTTAAAAAATGGGGGCCAAACTGAGGCTATAGATCATGTATCTAGGAATTTTAATTGGTATTTAAAATTGTGTATTATTAGCAAATAATTCTTATGTACCAAATGTAGTACAAAAAAATTGTCCATTTGTATTATTTCATCATCACAAAAAAAAAAAAAATTGAATTATATGTTTTGAGAGTACAATTTTATTCTCTTAGATTTTTATCATAAATTTTATTTTATTTAATTTGTTTGAAACTTATCGAATCATCCCCACAAATCAGTATCAAATATTACTTTTACGAGACTTACAAAGTATTTCATTAGTTTGACTCTCTCTCTCTCTCTCCCTCTGACAGACCATTTAATTTTGCCTATCCTTCATCCCTTCTTATTTACTTTGATCACAATTTCACACCAACCTTGTTCCTAACAATAGAAAAATACACGAAAAATGAGATCATCAAATGTAGAATTCAGCAAAGGATCCTGTGATCTTCATGATAATCACGACCAGATTCATCAGAAAACAATTTTCTTGCCAATGCTATGCAAAATTTCAATCAAAGACATAAAACTAAATCACTACAAAAATCAATCTTCATCATCCGATCCTTCTTCCCCTAAAGTCAGTTGCATAGGACAAGTCAAGAGAAACAACAGAATCATTAGCTTTCCCGCCACCTACAGATTCACAGCCGCTGCCACCAGCGCCGCTGCAGTCAACCACCACCACAACAACAAATATACCAAGTTGAAAAAACTGTTTTCCAGCAAAGCCCTCATGCCAGCCACCACTAAGACCGCCACTATCGCCACCACTCGAAGAAGTTGTAGAAGCAGCAGGGAAATGTGTGTAGTTGATTCAAGAAAATCCAAGATTAAGGATCAAGAAAGTGTCAAAGAAGTGAATATTGATGAACTGGATCCGCCCTTGCCGGTGGTGAAGAGGGTGCAACCACCTGCTGCGGCGCCAGGTTTCGGTGGCCGTGATGAGGTGAATATATGGAAGAGAAGAGTTCGTGGGGCGACGATAAAAGGTTTGCAGATTGAACGGATTCAATTACCTAACAACAATGTTCTCCCCTCAACAACTGTATAATCTGGGATTTCACTGTCAAATGGTAGATTTTTTTATTTTTTTTATTTTTTTCATTTTAAGCTCTTTATACAGCAATTTTGATGATAGTCGAGATTTACGCATTTACCTATGTTATGTTATCCAGGAATGTTTAGTACCATGAACCCGAGTTCTGGAAATTCGGTGAAGAAGGAAATAGATACTTCCGACACGCAACTGGTCAGATTTATGCTATATCTAAGGATTTGGCTAACTACATCTCAATTAATCAGTAAGCATTTTTTCCTTTCTTTTTTTATAGTGTCAAGATTGACTGCATCCTTTTTGTTTTGGTGCTTATGTGGAAAGGTGAATATAATGCCAAGCTTGTTGATCATGTTGGTTATCAGATTTCATTTGTTTCATTGGTTTTTCTGGGATATATGTAATAATTGTTGGAAATATGATTTATAAATGTAGGCCCATATTGCATAAGTTTGCGAACGAAGATGTGTCGCTTGGTGCTTGGTTTATTGGTCTAGAAGTCGAGCACATAGATGAACGCAGTATGTGTTGTGGCACTCCACCAGGTATTGTTCTATAGATTAGCACGTTTGGCTAAGCTTAGAAGTTACCTTTAAGTAAGAGTAACTTCATTTGCTCACGTCATACTTCTTTTGACCGTAAATTTTGTTGCCATTTACAGATTGTGAATGGAAAGCACAAGCAGGTAACGTTTGTATTGCCTCCTTCGACTGGAGCTGCAGTGGAATTTGCAAGTCAGTCGAAAAGATTAAATTTGTACACAAACAATGTGGTGAAGGAGAAGAGGCTCTTTGGAATGCTTTACTGTAGATTCATATGAAAGGGGGAAAAAATCTTCGATTAACAAAAAATTAAAAACTAATACTCCCCCGGTTTCAACTATCAGGTAATACAGAATGATACATACGGTTTTCAAGATTTGCGGTCGACATGTGACATTGTAGGTATAGACATAATTATGATTTTGAGGCAATGAGTGTTCGACTCTAGACGGCTGAGATGGGATGGCTTGATATGTATTCTTGTTAGAAGGCTAATTATTGATGATTAGTTCTTCGATATTCGAACGATGTTCTATTTTGTGCGTGTGTGTGTGTGTTTTTTGTTTTTTTTTCATGCACAAAGAATTACTGAACAAGAAAACGCCCAGCTGTGTAAATAAAAGGTCTCCCTTTGCAAAATTATTTGAAATATGTTACTTGTACATAGTACGATTTTCATAAAGATGTCCACCCTTCTCATAAGGAGGGCGGCTCATTTTTTATATTTTATTGGATAAGGGTATCCTTCTATGTGAGGATGGTAGACACTGTTATGGACATTCTGATGTACGTATAACATTATTTAAATTATTATTTTTTAAATGGGTTGGGCCAAAGTTGGTTCTAGGGTCCAAATAGGACCCAAAGCCCATGTTATAAAGGGTGAGCCCACAAATTGCTGGTAGAAGATTGGGTGGCAACCCGACCCGGCTGGTAAAATGTATACGTGCTTTATTTAGCAACTAAGAGTTGTATGTGATTTGATCTTCAACTGAGTTTTACCTAATTTTCCATTTATTTTTTAACTTTTAATGTTGGATTTTTGTAATTTGCTCAAATTGCAAGGTTACGATGTATTAGAAAAATCCTATATGTTAGCACCTCATAAATCACTTAACTTCTTGTGCAGAGCCTGTATTTTTTTATTTAGTTAAAAACGAGATTATGATCAGACAAGTCTTTCTATATTTTGAATAATCAATATCCTACCGAATATCTTGAATGCCTTGGACATGCAAGGATTGTTCAAATCATTGGCACTAACACACCACCAAAGAACTTGTTGAGAGAGGTGAAACAACCAAACTCTATACAAGTCTCGTTATTAGGGTCAAGCTTGAGATTTTTAAACTTGAGTCGAATTCTAAAAATTGAGCTCTCAAGTTATAGTGCGCATTCAAAATTGTTTTCTTCATAACCAAACTCTTGGTACAAGTATCAAAAGTCGAAAAGAATGATCATTTCACCGTGCCAAAATTATTGAACTAAAAAACAAACCTAAAACCCAACAAAATTAATATATGTTTATTATAATCTTAGGCCAGCCTTTTTTTCACCTGTTTGGTCTATCCAAAAGCAGGCAACCCAACAAGCATTTGGGATTATTTTCAACAACTCACATTGTATGAATTATTTTTTGTAACTTTAATAATGTTTGTGAGCACATGTATTAAAAAATTGAAAATAGAAATAATTGTTGAACCTTTTCATGATAAGTGGCATGCATGCATGCTTTAAACAACATAGGATTAGACATTTCAGGCACTCGAGCCACCAAAAAGAAATGAAGAAAATTAAAAGGTAACCTTTTCATTTTGACCCATTTAAATGATTTATATAGTATTGTACGTGATCAAGAGACAATATGACGAAATGAAACATTAGAATTGAATTTCGGACGTGTTAATGATAAAAATAAATCATACATGATAGACAAACCATAAATGCATGTGGTCGGAGCTTTATGAATTTTGCTATGCTCCTTAATTAGATGTACGAATGTGAGCTTTATAAGAGGAGGCAAATGGGGGTATTCTTACCATTTCTTTACAATAAGTGCAGATTATATCTGGATAAGTGGATGTACGAATATGTGAATAAAGTTAGTATGTTAAGATTGAATATGACTAGGCATCTTTACATTTTCCTTTAAATCAAGTCCAAAGTATTAAATATGCCGTAAATATATAGATAACATTATGTATGTCTAGTATATTGGGAGAAAAATTAATTGAAAATTGATTGTTCATCATAATCGATGATACTTGATGAAATAAACACGTCTATGTTTCTTATGAATTTACAGAAATAATTTTTTTTTAACGGACAATCGTGATTACATAATAACAATAAAACAATGTGACACTAGGTCTTTAGTAGTATAACCTTTTAGTTTGAGAATATAAAATTTGGGGTAAAAGAAAAAGAAAAATAAAATGAAGGTGAGAATGGGCCATCACTTTGACTCTAGTAGAATCATTTTTGTAAATTTTCTTCAATAACAAGAAGAGAAAAATAAAAAATAAACAATGAAGTGGTTAAGGACTTTAGGCCCAAAAAGATTTAGAAAGATAAAGAGGCCCATGGCCCACAAGGATGGAGTATTCACGTGACGCCACATGCATATAATGTGGTGTTTCCGCTGGATTCGTGTATTGTCCATTCGTATATCACGTGACTGGCGCATGCTTACTTACTCACCGGCCACCGCCACTCAAATTTTTTCTTCTTTTTTCTTTTTACTTTCTTAAGCTCCTGTTTGCCCACTTTTCCTTTCAAAATTTTCTCTTTTATTTTCAACCACACAATTTTTCACAAAATAATATTACATGTAAATCAAAAAATATTTCTTCCTTTTTAACCACATATTCTCCAAAAATACTATTGCAAACATTAAAATTTGCAAAAAAAAAAAAAAGAGACAAACAAGGGCTAAATCTGACAAACATTATTGTTAAAAAACACGAGTTTTAAGCAAACAGACATTTAGGGTGCCTTGATTGCAAGTATGAAATTTGCATGAAAAGAAAATAAATTTTTGGTAATTCAATTGCCTAAAACTTAATTGCATGAAAATTATCAATTTAATGTGTTTGATTTATTTAATTTTTAACCTAAAAAATATTATACTTGTCCGATTTTTATTGATGGATGAATGAGAGAGAGTGGATACATGAGAGAGAAAGAGAGTGAGTGAATTCCCTAAAAAATAAAATCTTACTCTTTTCCCTGATTTTGAGGAAAATATGATCACGTGACCAAAAGTAGAAAATCATTTTTCATGGAAAAAATGTTAATCAAACAATACGAAAGTAGGAATTTGGGTGAAAAATACATTTTTCATAAAAAAATATTGACAATCAAACGAACCCTTAGTAATAAAGAATTTGTCTTGAATAGTAAGTATCCAAGGGGTCCGTTTGGCATGTTATTATGAATACAACTGTTAAATTTGTTTAAAAAAAAAAAAAAAAAAGCTATTATCAAAAAGTTAATAACTGTTGGTTTTCAACAAAGTGCCATGAAAGTCAGAAATCTCACTTATAATAATCATGCCAAACGGATTCTAAATTACAAATTAAAAGGAGATATACCTTTGAGCCCAAGCGCAGGATATCTATTTCATGAAATCCTTTTATAAGAGAATCAATTTTACTTGAATCAAGACGAATCTTGTCCCATTTCAAGCCCAACAACTTTCTAGGGTTTTATATTTTAATTCTAAAGTTCATATCTCAAATGTTGACACAATTTTCATTTCCAAGAAGAAAATGTAACATGAGGAAGCAATAACATGTGTTAGGCAAAAAGTCTAAAATTGCCCAACTACAATTGACTTTTTAATTTTGACCATATGTTAGATGACAATTGTTTGGTCTCAAGAGTTTTTGTTAGGATCGTCAAGGGGGAAAAAATCTTATTTTTGACGTACAATTTTAGGAGGAGAAGTTTGAAAATATTGAAATTAAAGAAAAAGAAGGTTGTAAACAGAAATGCCACTCAAAAGGCTAATGATAAAAGAATATATAAAACGACACGTTTCAATGAACTCTCTCTTTTGCCTTAATAATTTCAAATTATAAAAAGGCAACCTAATGCTGCCGATGAGAAATCAGAGGCCGATAGAGCATTCAAATTTGATTACATAGAACTTCTTGTCCATCAAGACTGGTCCACAGTTTATCACAAGCCAAGACACCATCAATGAACTGGAGTAATTTTGTGTACTTTTTTGTGCTACAATTTCATCACGTGATGAGATCCCGTTAAATGTATCGTCCATGTTAAGTATGAGCATGCTCGACTAGTCGACTTTGTTAGTTTCAAATATTTAAAAGGAAGTCTTATATCGATCCCAGTGTACGTGTATTAAGATTTGAAAATGTTTTACGCGGACTATCGATTTATCAACTTATCATAATCTTCTTGTTTTGAGGTCTAACGTGTCATTTTTCCTTAACTTCAAGGTATACTCCAAAAGAATGGGGATATGTGATGTTGCAAACCAAACCACTGCCATAATAACATTCTCCAATTTTGAGCCATTTGGTCCATACAGATTGTTACCTTTCAGATGAAGATACACTAACATTAGCCCTTCACTCATCACCTATAGAAATTATTTGACATCATTTGTTTTTGTTAAAAGTAACATTATTTGTACTTGCGCGGAGAAAATATGCCTTCCACCATGAGGCCATATGTAATCTATAGTTCCGATTTAGTTTGATCAACTCGAGGTAAGTCACAACAATCGAGTTTACGTAATTATACGTATTCTTACCATTCACTCTAAGTGAAAATTTTCAAAATCCGTAAATACTTATCCTAGTGTCGGTTAAAACGGCAATTCAAGTACTTTCTAGCCAGGCTTGCATTCTTAGATACACCAAATTAGTCGTCCCTTGTTCACTCTCCTTCTTGGGAATGAGTCCATAACAAACTAGACATTTTTTATTTTTTCTAAGGTATGGAATAGACTCAAAAGGAAGAATCCTACTAAACAAACTTGTAAAATAACAAAGTGAAATAGGGTTCTCGAATCACATAGGACCGACAATAACAAGACCAGGATCCGACATTATAGTGGTAATAAAACCAAGAGTTCCACTGTATAATTTCAAGAATTTAGTATGTTATTTTGGTCAGAAATATAAAAGCAAGTGTCTTTTCCTTTTCTTGATTTATGGGTATTCCATATTTTGTATGAAATTTGAAATCGATTTTGTGAATCTTTTCATCACTTGATCCAGTTCACTGATATGCATACTGAAAGATCTGAAACAAAATCTTTACCTTAATGTATCACGTCAAGTGAGAATCATTTATTTGGCGATTTTAATTCAACTATAATTCAGTTATTTCAATAATATCTTATTTCTCATTTTTCAATATGTAATAAGTACTACAAAATTCGTATTATTAATTCTCAATTAATTAACATTTACATTAATCTAGACTCAATTTATTTTGACTCGATGAATCTTGATCTACATGAATTTAGAGATATTATAATCTCGTTTGGCCCACATTAAATTAAATTTCATTTCTCTCTCTCCTATTTTTAATCACACAATTTTCCATAAAATAATATTACAAGTAAGTCGAATTTTTTTTTTTCAATCACCCATTTTCAAAAAAAAAATAAAAAAAATACTATTATACCCATTTTAATTTTAAAAAATGGGGGCCAAACTGAGGCTATAGATCATGTATCTAGGAATTTTAATTGGTATTTAAAATTGTGTATTATTAGCAAATAATTCTTATGTACCAAATGTAGTACAAAAAAATTGTCCATTTGTATTATTTCATCATCACAAAAAAAAAAAAAATTGAATTATATGTTTTGAGAGTACAATTTTATTCTCTTAGATTTTTATCATAAATTTTATTTTATTTAATTTGTTTGAAACTTATCGAATCATCCCCACAAATCAGTATCAAATATTACTTTTACGAGACTTACAAAGTATTTCATTAGTTTGACTCTCTCTCTCTCTCTCCCTCTGACAGACCATTTAATTTTGCCTATCCTTCATCCCTTCTTATTTACTTTGATCACAATTTCACACCAACCTTGTTCCTAACAATAGAAAAATACACGAAAAATGAGATCATCAAATGTAGAATTCAGCAAAGGATCCTGTGATCTTCATGATAATCACGACCAGATTCATCAGAAAACAATTTTCTTGCCAATGCTATGCAAAATTTCAATCAAAGACATAAAACTAAATCACTACAAAAATCAATCTTCATCATCCGATCCTTCTTCCCCTAAAGTCAGTTGCATAGGACAAGTCAAGAGAAACAACAGAATCATTAGCTTTCCCGCCACCTACAGATTCACAGCCGCTGCCACCAGCGCCGCTGCAGTCAACCACCACCACAACAACAAATATACCAAGTTGAAAAAACTGTTTTCCAGCAAAGCCCTCATGCCAGCCACCACTAAGACCGCCACTATCGCCACCACTCGAAGAAGTTGTAGAAGCAGCAGGGAAATGTGTGTAGTTGATTCAAGAAAATCCAAGATTAAGGATCAAGAAAGTGTCAAAGAAGTGAATATTGATGAACTGGATCCGCCCTTGCCGGTGGTGAAGAGGGTGCAACCACCTGCTGCGGCGCCAGGTTTCGGTGGCCGTGATGAGGTGAATATATGGAAGAGAAGAGTTCGTGGGGCGACGATAAAAGGTTTGCAGATTGAACGGATTCAATTACCTAACAACAATGTTCTCCCCTCAACAACTGTATAATCTGGGATTTCACTGTCAAATGGTAGATTTTTTTATTTTTTTTATTTTTTTCATTTTAAGCTCTTTATACAGCAATTTTGATGATAGTCGAGATTTACGCATTTACCTATGTTATGTTATCCAGGAATGTTTAGTACCATGAACCCGAGTTCTGGAAATTCGGTGAAGAAGGAAATAGATACTTCCGACACGCAACTGGTCAGATTTATGCTATATCTAAGGATTTGGCTAACTACATCTCAATTAATCAGTAAGCATTTTTTCCTTTCTTTTTTTATAGTGTCAAGATTGACTGCATCCTTTTTGTTTTGGTGCTTATGTGGAAAGGTGAATATAATGCCAAGCTTGTTGATCATGTTGGTTATCAGATTTCATTTGTTTCATTGGTTTTTCTGGGATATATGTAATAATTGTTGGAAATATGATTTATAAATGTAGGCCCATATTGCATAAGTTTGCGAACGAAGATGTGTCGCTTGGTGCTTGGTTTATTGGTCTAGAAGTCGAGCACATAGATGAACGCAGTATGTGTTGTGGCACTCCACCAGGTATTGTTCTATAGAATAGCACGTTTGGCTAAGCTTAGAAGTTACCTTTAAGTAAGAGTAACTTCATTTGCTCACGTCATACTTCTTTTGACCGTAAATTTTGTTGCCATTTACAGATTGTGAATGGAAAGCACAAGCAGGCAACGTTTGTATTGCCTCCTTCGACTGGAGCTGCAGTGGAATTTGCAAGTCAGTCGAAAAGATTAAATTTGTACACAAACAATGTGGTGAAGGAGAAGAGGCTCTTTGGAATGCTTTACTGTAGATTCATATGAAAGGGGGAAAAAATCTTCGATTAACAAAAAATTAAAAACTAATACTCCCCCGGTTTCAACTATCAGGTAATACAGAATGATACATACGGTTTTCAAGATTTGCGGTCGACATGTGACATTGTAGGTATAGACATAATTATGATTTTGAGGCAATGAGTGTTCGACTCTAGACGGCTGAGATGGGATGGCTTGATATGTAGTCTTGTTAGAAGGCTAATTATTGATGATTAGTTCTTCGATATTCGAACGATGTTCTATTTTGTGCGTGTGTGTGTGTGTTTTTTGTTTTTTTTTCATGCACAAAGAATTACTGAACAAGAAAACGCCCAGCTGTGTAAATAAAAGGTCTCCCTTTGCAAAATTATTTGAAATATGTTACTTGTACATAGTACGATTTTCATAAAGATGTCCACCCTTCTCATAAGGAGGGCGGCTCATTTTTTATATTTTATTGGATAAGGGTATCCTTCTATGTGAGGATGGTAGACACTGTTATGGACATTCTGATGTACGTATAACATTATTTAAATTATTATTTTTTAAATGGGTTGGGCCAAAGTTGGTTCTAGGGTCCAAATAGGACCCAAAGCCCATGTTATAAAGGGTGAGCCCACAAATTGCTAGTAGAAGATTGGGTTGCAACCCGACCCGGCTGGTAAAATGTATACG